ATACTAATGTAACATTCCTAAACAACAAGTTTGATGAATTACTAGTTGATATATATATAAGTTTAATTTTGCCGTGAGCATATATTCAACAAGAGTGCTCGATGAATAATATCAGAGCTATATAATTCATTTTTTGACGAGATTAAATAAAAATAACTACAAGTAAAAAATAAATTGTTTTTTTCGTTAAAAAAAAAATATATATATATATACAGTATTGGACAAAACATTTGCAACCAACATCGAACAAAGCTAAAAAGTGTTCCTTTTTTTACATGTCTTAAAAACGAAACAAACTATACTACCACAGCAAACAGTTCAGGAGTCTGGAGTCAAAGCACGCCATGACATGAGCAATCAGCTGACAGGTGACAGCACACAGGCAGAATTTCGTTGACAAGTGCCATTTTGCAGAGAACAAAACAAGTGCAACCTTTTTGGTTTGTTTCATTTTCTTAAATCTAGTTCGTGTCACCGTCACGGAAGTTTTTTAATAATTAAAGGAAGTATCCAGAAGTTTCCAGAAGTTTCCAAAAACATGCAGAAGCTTCCAGAAGTTTCCAGAAGAAGCATCTGGAAGCATCCAGAAGTATCCAGAAACATTCAGAAGCATCCAGAAGCATCAAAAAGAAGCATCTAGAATCTTCCAGAACAGGTAAACCGACATGTAATTCAGAGACATGTAAACCGACATGTAATTTCGTCAGTATATAGAAGTCAATCAGTTGTTCGTAATAAGGATCAACTGTTTGAACAAATCCAAAAGGCCTGGGCAGCGATTCCACAAAGTTTCATTGATCACCTGATCGAATCTATGGCTCAAAAATGCAAGGCTGTGATCGACAACAAAAGATTCGCCGCGAAATTTTGATAGTGAAATACAGCTTATTCAACATTTTATGGAGTTGCACTTGTTTTGTCCAGAAGGAAATCAACTTTTTTTAATACTTTCAATTTATTTATTAATTTTCGTGTGCAAATAATTAACTTTGTGATGAATAAAACTTAAAGAACGTTGTCTTTAAACAGTTCCATAGTTATTTCTCTATATTGAAAAAATGCAGCACTTTTATATAAAGAAACTAAATTAGCATTATTTAGTTGCACTTGTTTTGTCCGATATTGTATATTTATATATATATATATTTATATATATATATATATATATATATATATATATATATATATATATATATATATATATATATATATATATATATATATATATATATATATATATATATATATATAAATGTATATATACATGTATATATGTATATATATATATATATATATATATATATATATATATATATATATATATATATATATATATATATATATATATATATGTATATATATATGTATATATGTATATATATATATATATATATATATATATATATATATATATATATATAATATATATATATATATATATATATATATATATATATGTATATATATATATATATATATGTATATATATATGTATATATGTATATATATATATATATATATATATATATATATATATATATATATATATATATATATATATATATATATATATATATATATATATATATATATATATATATATGGCTGATAATTGCCGCCAGGCATGAAACTCTGAGTGCCAACAAAAAGTTGTATTTTTATTTCATATTTATACTAAATAATTTTATATATATATATATATATATATATATATATATATATATATATATATATATATATATATATATATATATATATATATATATTTTTCCTCATTTATTTAGCCGTACAAATATTTACAAGTTCCATTTTTTATAATATATATAAAAATGGCATAGACGAGAAATGACACGTTTGCCTTATCACCAAGGGTACCATTATCAAATGACGGGTAAATGTCATGTGATAAATTTAAAATTCATTTAATTCATTTTTAAATTATTTAATTTTACAGTATTAGTTTTAGTGTGTGCAAGAAGATTTTGAAAACCTTGCTGCAAAAAGTTTCGATAATTTCGATAATTGCGATTTCTTTATCAACCAAAAGGTTCAATATAACGTTCGAAAGTTATTTGAGTTTCTGATTCAGATACCAATTTATTATTCCTTAGTGATTACTATATATACTATGTTTTTCTTTTGATAAAACTTCACATAATACTTATTTACTTTAATACTTTACATAAAACATAACTTATTCAACTTGCTTATTAATTTGTCTCTTGGATCAAAATCTGGAAGATGGAATATATGATATTTTACTTACCAAAACTATGTGCATACCTGCAACTTCAGTGTCATTAGAATACGCTTTCGCGACTGCTGAGCAAGTGGTCAGTCAATAGCATGCATCTTTGGCACAGTGGACACGCTAATATTGCTAAACCCTAATTGCGACTTGTATAACCTAAACACTTGAATTAAAATAAAATTTAGAAATAATTGTAAAATATTTCTAAATAAATGCCATCATTGTCATTAATGTTTTGTCCGCAGTCCGCAAGCTTAATCTAATTTGTTTCTAAGTAGTAGAACCATAAACAAATCAAACATCAAACAAGATTTTTTTGAGATCTTTTACGTTTAATTTATAAAAGATAATATCGGACCCCACATTTTTTTCTAAATTTTGCGTGTCATGGCCTGTAACGTGTCACGGACATTTAAAGAGCGCCATGCATTACGTTTTTTTAAAAAATATTTTGCTTTAATGTCGCAATATGCTAAATGAATGTAAACAAACTCTGCTTTATATTGTGGCAGATGTTAACTAGATTTCCTTTTTCAACCGATTTCAATGAATACGAGGCTTGTACCTTGACTTTAATTTAAGCAAAGTCACAAGTCATCAAAGTTGAGTTAAATCTCTTATTTTATTAGTTCAATTATGTAAACTCCAAGTAATAATAGGAAAATTCAATATTTGGATATTGCAAAACAACTTTTAGCTAGCTTTTTAATATAAAACTAATATTTAGCTTTGAGTTATTTTTAAAATACTTTGTGATTTAAAGATATTTAGAAAAACTTTTCTGATTTTTTAAAGTTTTTACTGATTTTCTAAATTTTCAAAACATTTCCCTAGTTTTCCCTGAGTGCTATGAATCCTGTCAAAGTTACATTAAGTTCAAAATCGGAAATATATGATGCTCTTTTCTGTGTTAAATTTATCAGCATTAAACCTTTTCTTTATAAAATAGTTAGGAATAAAATTACTCTCATTCTTGTTTTAAACTTTATAAAAAAGTATAAAAATCCAAACACGTGGGTTTCAATATCGACACCTGCCACAGTAACAAAATTTACGGTAAACATTGTCGCCGAATAGACATTCAGGTTTAGAAATTCTATCGATTGAAACGATATTGCTAAAGAGATTGATTTTTCTAGACTAATCAAAAGTTTTAGCGACAACAAAGCTTAATAGATTAATTTTAAAAAATTAGGTACCTAATATATAAATATAATTTGTACTGTTGAAAAAATGTTTTCATGTTGTATGCAATTTAAATTTTATATTGCAATGTATTATTTTTGAATTCAATATTTTATTATTTCCGGTATTAATTACAGTTATATTTATAAAATTTTTAGGGGCGCCTGGAAAACTTCATAGGAGGGCGCCAAGAGAACTAAGGTTCACCTCTTCTCTGCGGGCATAAACATTTTTTTTTTACTATTATTATTATTATTTTTTATTTTTTGTTATTTAGGTGCCCCAAGAAGACCTAACGGTCTAGTCACAGAACACCGCAGAAGTGCATTTAATCAGAATATTCACGCCTCCTTCCTTACCGTGACGCGAAAATATATTCAAAGTTCGTTTCGAACCTGGATCTCTTGCTTATAAAGCAAGCGCTCTAACCACTGCGCCACGGCCGCACACATACACATTTATTATAAAATCAAACTCCAACGCAAAAACTTTTAAAAACAAAAAATGTTTTGTTAAATTCGACATTTCTATGTTAAATAGCATAACATTGATTTTTATATTCGTGAAATTCTGTTGTTATTTTTTTCAAAAAAAAAGAAATCATTTGTTTTGCAAAGGTAAAGAACGAGAGATGGTCAAATCGCGTACACGGTCGTTTCGATATAAGGAAAATGCGCAATGTTTAGATACGCATGCGTCAATTAATTTTAAAAAGTTTAGAACTTTTAAAATGGCTGCGGTCCTTGACTACATCGAACATTTTATATGACAATCATTTTGTTGTTGGTTTGTTAATGAAAACGTTCTATTTTTATTTTATATTAAAGTAAATCAGTAGATTAATAACTTAGTTTCTAAATTAAGGTTCACCACTAAAAAAAAAATCCCCAAACTTTATAATTTCAAAGTAAAAAGTGCATAAGAACATAATATATGAAAACAAAAAACAACTTAAGTGTCATTTTACAACAATTTATTCCTAAAATTGCGAAAATATGTCAAAAAGGTTGCAAAATCGGTTAATTTTGAATAAAATTTTGAAAAACGATAACTTGGAAACCATTTGAAATTAGATCTTCATATTATGAAAACAGTTTAATGCATATAAAATGAAGGGCCTGAACCAAAATCACTCCTATGTTCTTAGTAAAAATTGGAATATTTTTATTTTTTATGCAAAAACATCAAATTTTGGGTGGTTGGCTAATGAATTTTTTTTTTTTTTTGTATGTATTTAGGTGCTCCCAGAAGTCCTTACGGTCTTATCATAGAGCACCGCGGGAGAGCATTTAACAGGAAGTTCACGCCTCCTTCCGTACCAATGTCGCTTGTTGGGCTAGAGCTGGCGTCGAACCTCGGACCTCTGGGTTCTGAGCCAGAACTTTAACCACTGCGCCACGGCTGCTTGAAATGAAATAGAAAAATGTAAATAATTCATCAAATCCAATAATTTTTTGATTCCGGCCCTCCATCATAACATGTAGAACATCTCATGAAAATTTGAAGCAAAAAGCTTTAGTCATTCAAAAGTTATGATATTTCAAAAATTAAAAATTGCACAAAAAAAGTGAATAAAGAAAAAACAACAATAAACATTTTATAACTAATAAAAATATCAAAAACTTCCAGATGAGTAGGGTTTAAAAGTTTCCAGTTGTTCTTCTTCATCTTGCCAACCCTTGTTAATGGATTTTAAATGTATTCTTCTACTTTTTTTTCAAAAGTGTCTTTTTTATTCATGCTGGCAACGCGTTTTTCCTCCCTACAAAATAAGGACACCATTCTCAAGATTGAGGTGACACATTGCTCTCTGAACACCAGCAGTTCCCTAATTAAAATACAATACAGTTGAGTTCACTCCCAACTCAAATGAAGCTTTGTGAATAAAAATGTTTTTTGAGCATCTAGACCATGTAATGCTATTAAAAGACGCTCGTTAGAATTCTGTGTTTGACCATGAGTGCATTTTTTCAAAAGGTTGTCATCACTTAAATCTTCAAACTTTTTCTTAATGATATCATATATTCATACTGGCAAATAAAATTTTGGTATGTAAATGCTGTTACCTGAAGAATTTCCTTTCTTCCAATTACACCAGCTATTAGAACCCACTGGACATATGACGTGGCGATTCTTTAACTTTTTTTCTATAAAAAAATATAGTTCTGCTTATTTGCATAAGAAGGAATTAGGCACACTTAATTATATTAGGGAAAAGTTCATATATCACTATACTTATTTAATAGAGTGTGTTTTTTTTTTCTATTTATAATTGTAATATATAATTAAAAAGAAAAACAAACATTAAAATTTAGGGCATAGTTGTAAGAGCAGAAATATAATTTATATCAAAAAAAAGTTGAAGCAACAAACAAAATCACCATAAATAGAGAAAATATATAAGATACAATATTAGCTATATAAGATATGTCCAAGTACTTACACATATGTGTAAGTATGTACTGATGCCAGACACAGTTTTAATGTTAAGGTTGTAAGCTTTTAGATGGAGTTACATAGCACAATTTATTCCACGTTTTTTGATAAACAATTTCCACTTATAAATGCTCATTTACTCAAAATAAATTATTTTATTTAGATTGTATATCCCTGTGGTTAAGTGTCAATGGATTCAAAAAATATTCGACTTTTATTGTTAATTGATTTTTGATTCTTTGACACGTAAATTTGAAAACTTGGTACAAAAACTCTGAAAAATAGAGAAATCAACTATGTATACGATTCGATCAACTATTTTTGACTACAAAACTCAATAGGCTACAAAGAAAAATAGCTTTAGGTTCTTGGCAAGTAAATTTTTAAAATTACTTAAATTTTGGAAATATTTATATATGCACGTGCTGGTTTAAGGATGAATCAATTTAGTATATCATCATCAATATTTTTATCGTTTAATTTCCATATGTATTTTGACAGCATGATGTTTTTTGAATACTTTTTATTTTTAATGGATTGCTTACAATTGGCAAAACATTTTTTTCATTCACTCTGTTGAGCTAATATATTGCTTATCAGGTACATTCTTAGAGGAAACATATTTATATAACATGTTTTTTGATAAACAATTTCCATTCATCGGACAATTGTTTTTTTGTTTTAAATTAGAAATTTCTATCTTTTTTTTATTTAGGACTTCTCTTATGATTAACAAAGCATTATTGTGACCTTTTATAATTCTTTAAAAACTTTTTATGCAACTGTATCTAACTTTAATTGTTTTTTGATTAAAAATTTTATGTAATTTATTAGAAGCCAGGAAATGCTTATCAACAAATTTTAAAAACACTTTTCCTATATTATTTGCTATATGGGGGTTAAACCAAATTACATTTCTAGTCCTCTTTCCTTTTTTGGTATTCTTTTTTTCAGGGTCAAATTTTGGGTAATATTAGTTAATATTAATATACAATAATTCATCGTTTGAGTTAATATTAATATACAATAATTCATCGTTTGGTTTTTTAAAAGACTCATATGGATTTTCAGAGAGGTTAGATGTGACATTTAAGTCAATATTAAAAAATTTTATAGTATTTTTTTTAACTTTATCAAACTGTGGACCAGATTTTTTACGCACCGCTACAGGGTTGTGGAGTCGTGAAAAAAATCGTTGAAATTTTCAGAGTACGACTCCGACTTCAAAGCAAAATTTTTGAAAAATTCGTTGAATTTTTTTTTTTTAATATTACGCAATAACTTAAAAAAATATTTTTTGAAAAATATATGAAAATTTCTTGGAAGGTTAAATATTTTCTACAAGCACACGCAATACAGAGAGGTTTTACTATTGGAGTCGGAATTGCGATTTTGTTTATCGGTTCTGACTCCGCTAAAAATGTTCCGGAATAACTGTGTGGCTTTTACCAAATTCAATTGTTTTATGTAAAATATATACAGTATACTGTATATTAATATTAATTAAAATCATTCACCCTAAATTCTAAAACAAATCCAAATTTTAATTATTAACCGGCTTAACCAAAACTCCTCTATTGAAAACATACTCAATTCCTCTAAACGAATTTTTGAAAGTTCTGAAAAAAAGTGGTTTTCCAAAAAAATTTTTGAAACGAATATTCGTTTCAAAACTTTTTTTGGAAAACCACATTTTTCAAAAAATTTTTTCAAAAATTAATTTTTGAAAAAAATTTTTGAAAAAATTTTTGAAACGAATTTTTGAAAGTTCTTAAAAAAAGTGGTTTTCCAAAATTTTGAACTAAAATTTAACTCCTAAAAAAGAATATATATATATATATATATATATATATATATATATATATATATATATATATATATATATATATATATATATATATATATATATAGGGGAAAGCGGGGCAACATGTCGAATGGGGCAAGATGGGTTTTCATAACAACTCAACAACAAATCTTAAATTTGGGTGAAAACGAAACTGTATTTGCATTTTGTATTTCAAAACACCAATTGGTTTTTTGAAATATTATTAACGCTATTTTATACGCAAAAGTTAACTTTTTGCGCCTAAAAATTCCTCATTTTCGGTTTCTCATAACGGATTGTGTCCTTCAAGTTTAACTTCTTTAGAAGTAGTTTTTAGTGATTTGCGTTTTTTTTTTGTTACTTTAATTAGAGTTATCGGTAGTTTTTAAAATTTCATAAAATTGGAGGTAAAAATTAGTCATCTTGCCCCGGTCACGTAACCAGATGACAAATTTATGAACTTTTAATTTTAATATTTATTTCAAATTGTTATACTTGCAAACGGAAAATTCATGTAGGCAATAAATCATTTTAATAACATAAACATACTCAGAATAGTTATTGCTTCACGACTGATAATTTTGCAATAACTCACGGCTTTCAAAACGTTCGCCATGTTGCCCCGCTTTCCCCTATATGCAAATTGGCATTTTTAGTTTCATAACAAATTAACAATTTAAGGAAATCCTACTCTGGTCTCTTGATGAAAGATAAATAAAAACCCTCCAACAGCATCTTCATGTTTCATATCTAAAAAACTTGCAAACACTTGAAAGTAAAATTTGATTCAAAAAACTTGAGTCCTATATATTAAACCAATTTGCAGAGCCCTAATGTGATTAATATACACTAATTTATTTATCTAATATTTAGTTAAGATTTTCACCAGTGGCGGAACTACTGGACGCAGGACCCTGCGTTGCGGGGGGGCCTACCAGCTATAGGGGGCCCTCATATAAAAAAAAGTTATACTCTCAATAATATTTATATGTGAAGCTTTATTTTTTTAAAAAAAAACATTCTTTTGCGGGGGGGGGGGGGGGCAAATTTTGAAGTTCCGCCACTGATTTTCACAGTATAATTTCACACACACACACACACACACAAACACACACACACACACTCAAACATGCACACATATATATTTATAAATATATAAAATTGAGTTATAACTGCCGGCTAACTTTATATGTCCTAATATAATAAAGTGTATGTATTTATAATAACAATAATAATAATAATAATATATTATATTTAATATTATATACATGTAATAATAACAATCACATACACTTTATTATATTAGAACATATAAAATTAGTGTATAGTTATAACTCACATTTTTTTTAATATATAAAAAATTTACTTTGAGTCAAAGTATAATTTTGCATCAAAAAAAAGTTGAAGCATTTACCAGAAAAATACTTTTAAGATTGCACATATGTATTTAATATTTAAACAAATTTGTTATGAATTCATAAGGTTAGATTTCTAAAAAAGTGATTTCAAATAAATGAACAAATCTTGGATATCAATAAATAATGATATAAAATTTAGGTTTTATCACGCTAAGGTTGTTTTAATCTATATTTATCGATTCTCTTATGAAATTCAAGTATTTATATACTGATTTATACAAAAAACAAGCCAACAACATCAATTTATAAGAAATAAAGAACAAAAGTAAGGTTGTTATATAAAATGTTCTCTGTAGTTAAGAACCGCAGCCATTTTAAAAGTTCAAAATTTGTAGTTATTTTCTAACGCATGCGTACCTAAACATAGCGCTTATAAGCGACCGTGCGTACGTTCTCGCTGTTTTTGACACCGCACCCCCTTTTTTATACGTATCTGTACGTTTTTGAGTAACCCCCTACCCCCATACCTGCGTACGTATTTTACAGAAGAATTTCAATATTAGAAAATAAAAATAAATACTAAAAAATTGGAAAAATGCAATAAAAAAGACATTTAAATATTTTATACCATAAAAAAATCTAAATGTACATAACTTAACTTATAAAAGTTCAAGTTTCTAGAGCATCATTCGGTCTGATAGTTAAACAAGTATCAACATAAATGAACGCCTGGCCCTTTGCACCTTGCTTCTGCAACAATAATAGATAATTTGTGATAAACAAAAAATAACTTTTAAAAAACAAATCATAACATGCAAAATTAATGTCAAAAGACATAACTTCCACAAATTTGCAATAGATTTTCAAGTAAATATATCACACCCACGCTGAACCAGATTTTAGTTTGATGAAATGACTTAGGGTTGTGCTATACCTTTTTGAAATTGTTAGAACCATATCATTAAGGGAAATTTAGTGAAAAAAAATCATAAAACTATTCTTTAAAAAATATTTGGGTTTATACAGGGGTCAAAACGGTTCCCGAACTTTGGCGCCCCTCTGGTTGATCATGAGACCAGCCCGAGGAGGAAAAACAACTGTTTTATATTTTGTTAAACAATATAACTAGTTATTAGTTGCCTCTTCTAGATGGTCTAAAAAACAACCCGAGGGGCACCAAAGTTCATCACCTATTTTGACCCGTGTGAGAAAAGTGTGTTTATATTGTGCCAAAAAAACAAATAAACCTAACGATATTAATGTACCGTGGATTAAAAATTTAGTGAATTTTAAATACAACATTAAAATTTCATTCTATCCTAAAGCTATTTGTGAATCTTGCAAAAGCAGTATAAGAAGAAGAAAAGAGCTTTACACGTAAAGTGGAATAAAATGAAAATACCAGTTCAAACTAGAAGTGTTTTTGTATGTAAATGCAAAATATATATAATTGGATCTACTCAAGGGAGACCTAAAACATTCAAAAAGGGACGTATATGTAACGCGCAACCTCTATTTAATTGTCTAACTTGTCAAACTTGCTTTTCAATTATTAGCAAAGGAATTACCCACAAAAGTTCTTTAGCTGTACTTAACTGTAATGTAATGCAAAAGCTTGTAAATAATGTCAAGACAATTGAGCAAATAGCTAATTCTTTAATAAAAGACAAAATAGATAAAAAGGGTAAAGCGATACTTGCTACTGGTAAAAAAGTAAGTTTTACACTTAAGAGAAACCATGATACTAGTAATATACAACAACTGCCTACAAACAGTATGATTGACATACAATTAACTTTAGAATTAAGTAACACAAAAATTTTAAAGTTAGCAAAAGAACTACGATTCAAAGCACAAAACAGAAAAATTGTACAATCAAGGTTAGCAGCAGAGTTCAAACGTATTGACCAGCAACTTGATGATAGTTTTGTTGACGATTTTGAACTTTTTAATATTAAATCTGTAGAGGAAATAAGTTTGTTTAAACTGATCCCATTTATCAGAACAACAGATGTCAATGAGTTTCTGTGGCAAATAATAGATAAAAAAGGAGCCTATCCTCAAAACCAGTATATAAAAATTTCCATTGATGGAGGTCAGGGATTTCTTGAGGTAATTTGATTTTATAATGCGCCACTTTTTTTTCTAATTAAAAATAATAATAAGTGTAATTTATTATAAAATATTCAGGTTTGCTTAAATGTTGTATCAAATCCTAGTGAAACAATTAAAAACAAAAGAAAATATGGAGAAATTAAATCACCAAATTTCAAGGAAGGATCTGTGAAAGCATCATTTATAATAGCACTGGTACCAGATGCACCAGAGACAAACCATAATGTTAAAATTCTTCTTAACAAACTCTGTTTGGATAAAATAAACTTTACTTATGTGGCAGATATCAAACTATGTCAAGTCATGTGTGGTATGTCTCCGAGTTCCATGGCAACTCATCCGTGTTATATTTGTACATGGAACAGAACAGAGGTTTTTAAAAATGATTGCACTGAGCTACGAACACTTGGGTCACTAAGATTAAGCAGTAAATTGTATGAATTGAGCGGATCAAAGAAAATTAGAGCAAAAGAGTATTTTAACTGTATTGATGAAGTTCTTTTAATTGGTGATGATAATGATCTATTTGTTTATCATCTATCTCCTCCAGAACTTCATTTGATGGAAGGGGCAACAAACCATATCTTTAAAACAATAAATAAGTTAGCTGATCCAGTACTATTGAAAAAGATCAAAAATGATTTAAACATTTCTAAATCAATAAGAAATGGGTCATATAATGGTAATGGTTGTCAAAAAATATTAAAAATTGGGTGAAGTACTATAACTTGTTTCCAGTCCTATTAAAACCATTGGCTGAAGCGTTCAGGCTTCTGGATAACCTTGTTCACTCTTGTTTTGGTGTAAATTTAAGGCCAAAATTGGAAAAAGATATCAGGTTATTTAGGAATCATTATTCAACCTTAGTGGAAGATTATGAAATGACAGTTACTGAAGTTACACATCATATTTCAACATGTAGGTCCCTTTTGTAAAGGTAAGGACATTGGATTGGGTTTTTTTTAGTGAACAAGCAGGGGAAGTTCTTCACTACTCATTTTTAAAGGAAGCATGGGAACGTTTCAAAGTGTCTGATAACCATCAAAAGTGCAAAGTATTTGAAAAAAGCAGTAGTTAGTTTCAATGGAAAACATTTAAATGTTTAATAAATATTTTCTAAAAATAATGTTTTTTTTTTCCCTATTTAATTTTAAGAAGAAAAAAGTACCTGGCATTGGCGCCCCTCAGACTGTTTTTAAGACCCATCTGAGGGGGACATATAATGACTAGTCATTTTTTCTGACAAAATGTACAACAATTGCATTCACCCCTGTGGTGGGTCTTGATATCAGTTAGAGGGGCGCCTAAGTCCGGGACTTTATTTGACCCCTGTATAAACCCAAAGATTTTTTAAAGATTAGTTTTATGATTTTTTTCACTAACTTTCCCTGAATGGTATGGTTCTAACAATTTCAAAAGGTATGACACAACCCTATGTCATTTCATCAAACTAAAATCTGGTTCAGCTTGGGTGTGATATAGCATAAAAAATAAAAAATAAAAATTCTGTAATTGTAACCAAGAAAATTACTGAATTTTTTCAAAACTTAGCGATGCAGTTTTTTTAACAATAAAACATTTTTTTAAATTTTGATTGAAATACAAAAATGAACGAAATATAATTATATACCTTTAAATTACCTTTATTTTAAATTTAACAATGGGTTGAGCTATTAAAATCGAAAAAAATCGATTACAAATAAATTAATAATAATAAATTGATAAATATTTAAAATAAATAGTACTCTCCGGTTATTCATGTTTTACGCCAAATTAAAATATATTTGGGATAGTAACTTTCAAGAAGAAACTGAATTTTGCATAATAATTTTATTAGAATTATTGAAATTTTTAACTATTTTTTTGCAAAGATTTTTAAGAACTTTTACTGTAAATACAGAGTAAACAATTTTCTCAAAAATTGCTAGAATTTTTTCAGAAATTTGTAAAAATGCATATATAAAAACCTTAAAGCCAGAAAAGAAATTTTTAGGATTTTCTTTATACTATTGCTAATTCCATGCTGAAAAAGGTTAGCATAATAGAAATAATAACGCTAATAAAATAAAAATTATAACGTAAAGATAAATCATAATACAATGATTAAACAACATCTTGTCGGAATAAAGTTTAAATATTTCTTTTTATTTAGTATTTATTTAATTTTTTATAAGTATTTATTTAATTTTATATATATTATATATTATATAGTATATTATAGTTATAAAAAAACTAATGAAATAATGAACTTCAACAAATACATCACAAAAAACAAACATTAATAAAATAAAATTTTCTTACTTTTAACGCTTTGCAAAAATGAAGCATATGTTTCATTACCCGTAACTGCTCCAGACTGAGACGGATTCGTTCTAACCGTTCGAACTGTGAAACAATCACCATTATTGTTGGATGGTCCAACAACATCTATTTCAATAATATGACATGCCAATCTGTTACAACATTAAATGTTATAAACATTTATTAATGCAGTACTACTAATAAATTACTATTTTTGCTCCAAAAAAAAAGAGTAATAGTTAAACCTTTTATCTGCTACTAAGCAACCTTGTACTTTATCAAAACCAAGATTTGAAGCAGCAATGGCTGCACATGCCATTGTATTCACATTTGAAGGAGCAAGTGGACATAAATCGCGAACAGGTCCTAATATTTATAAATTTTTAAATAAAATATTATTAAAAAAAAAAAAGGAGGAACCATTAACTATTATTAAATGACATACCATCATACAGCTCTAAAGTTTCACCAGACATATTTTTAACCATCTCTGCCAACTCACCATTAAGTTTTAAAGATGAAGGATGTTTTTTCATTGTAACCTTTAAAGCCTGAGGACATAAAAAAAGATTTCAATCTATTAGATTTAAACCATGTATATACAAATAACTACTTAAAAAAATTTAAAATACACCAAACAATTTAGTTAATTTAAACACCAAAGAATTTAGTTTGATCAGTACATTAGGCAGGTCCGTTTTTAGGGGTTAAAAAAACTACAACTTTGCCAATTTATTTTCCCATTCTATGTTGCCATAAAAGACTTTTCCTGAAAAAAATTTTGAAAAATTTTAAATTCTCTGTCCTCCCTAGGAGTTTCAATATTTCATATTTATTACATTTTTTAGAGAATTTTTTTTTTTAGTTTGCACTGCCGGACCTATGCGGAGTTATAATCACAGCGCGCAATAATAAATTTTATGAAAGCGGCGTTTGTAACTTTTTAAATTTAAAAATGGCAATATCAACACGTTCAAATACTAAAATATTTTTGTTAGGACAAACCCAGGAAATTGGTTGCAGAACTTTGCCTAAAAAAGGCGACGTTTTAAGATATTTTTATCACTGCTGCAGATTACTGAATTTCAAAAAAAAAAAAAAACACACCGAAATTATTTCCTGCCCTCTAGATATAAATCACGAGCTACTATGTAATGATAAAATATGTAACCCCAAATGTGTTGTTTCTGCTCTTAGAAAACCGTGGCTTATGGGTGGTATACCACACATTAGTTGCAGAAGTATTAGGTAACTATTGATTTAAATGTTTATAGTTTATTACGCAATTATTGATATAAAAATTTAAGCTGACAAATGACAAATGAAAATTTATTAAATTATTTCAGGGACAATGTTTCCAAATTAATATATCATCACAAGAAACTAGTATCATATCGTTCAAAAAAAACGGAAACATAAAAGCTGCATGAAAATAATTTTTTGGCATTGTTTGACATAGGGCACCCAAAACTTTATGAAATTATTGAAAAAGATAGAATTCGATCAAAAGATAAAAAAGAATGCGATATTTTATTTCATTAAGATCAAAAAACTGCAAGAACAATGATAATTGACAAAATAGACAAAAAAATATCAAAAAGTTTATTCCAACAGTGAGTTTCGCAAAAGGAAAGCCAAGGAGTTAAAGCAAAAGGAAGAATCTGCCACAAAAATCTCAAAGTTAAAACAATTTTCATCAAATAGTAATTGTATTAATGAAAATCAAGATTTATTTTTGTTAGAAAATTTTGATAATGAAGAATTTCAATATAATAATTATGATGAAATTAAAAAACAATCAACTAACAAAAAACAAAATAAAGTGAGAGTAACAGTAGATATTGATAAACTTATTAAAAAAACTTCAACATTTTGTGGGCGTTTTGGAATTTCTGTTGGAGTACAGACAGGATTATTAGTATTATTTTTAGGATTATTAGTATTATTTTTAAGTGGAATTACAAATCTTAATGAAGTAAAACTTTCAAAAACAAAAGTAGAAAAAATAAGAAAAGATTCCATAAGAAATCATGGGAAAGGTCTTTAAAAGAAGGTCTTTAAAAGTAACCGGGTTATATTTCAAAATGTGTTATCTCAAGAAATTTTTAATATTTTGAGCTCAAATTTAGTACCAACTTTCCTAATAGTAGACCCAGCTCACTCAAAAAAAATTTATAAGTTTTGTTGGTCCTTGATCCAATTAAAAAAGCAATTTAACGATTAATTGGTCAAAAATGGCTTTTTTTAAAATATTTAAACCCTCAGGGAGGTCAGGAAAATTAAATTTTTTAAAATTTTTTTTTGGAATTGTCTAGTATATCAACGTAGAATGGGAAAATAAAGTGGCAAAGTTATAGTTTTTCTGACCCCTAAAAACGGACCTGCCTACAGTACATAGTTAAATATTTTGTCCTATAAATAAAACTTTGAAATAGGTTACAAAATTATATTCAAAATACAATAAGGAAAGAAAAAAACATAAATTATTAGTGGCTTTTGTTTTCAGACATCAGCGTTCAGGCTTCAAATCACCATATTTTTTCAGGACTTTCTCATTTGACAGCATTAAAAACTCAAAAAGAATTCAAAATTGTTTATGACTTTTATTATTCTGTTATGCATAGCTATCTGTTACCTTGGGAACAAAATTCCAGAACTATTATGTTCTCGTAAGCATTAACTAAAAGGTTTAACCTCAAACGCAATTTTATAAAAGTATATTGTATAAATCAGTGATTTCTGGTACAAATTTTATCTCAACCACTGCACTGGAAACAAATTGAACACTTTTTTTTTCTTTCATTAAACTAATGAAACTTATGTATGTATATATATATATATATACATACATATATATATATATATATATATATATATATATATATATATATATATATATATATATATATATGTATATATATATATATATATATATATATATATATATATGTATATATATATATATATATATATATATATATATATATATATATATATATATATATATATATATATATATATATATATATATATATATATATATATATATATATATATATATATATATACATATATATATATATATATATATATATATATATACATATATATATATATATATATATATATATATATATATATATATATATATATATATATATATATATATATATATATATATATATATATATATATATATATATACATACATAAGTTTCATTAGTTTAATGAAAGAAAAAAAAAAGTGTTCAATTTGTTTCCAGTGCAATTATATATATACAGTATTGGACAAAACAAGTGCAACCAATGCTAATTTAATTTCTTTATATAAAAGTGCTGCATTTTTTCTATTTAGAGAAATAACTATGTAACTGTTTAGAGACAACATTCTTCAAGTTTAATTTATTACAAAGTTCATTATTTATACACGAAAATTAATAAATTAATCAAAAATATTAAAAAAAGTTGATTTCCCTCTGGACAAAACAAGTGCAACTACACAAAATGTTGACCAAACTGTATTTCGCTATCAATATTTCGTGGCTAATCCTTTGTTGTCGATCACAGCCTTGCATCTTCGAGGCATAGATTCGATCAGGTGATCAATGAAACTTTTATGGAATCGCTGACCAGGCCTTTTGGATTTGTTCAAACAGTTGATCCTTATTACGAACATCTTCACGATTAATTATGCGGTTGACGATCTCCCACAGGTTCTTGATAGGGTTAAGATCTGGAGGTTGAGGCAGCCAATCCATCACCGATAGGTGGTTGTCTTGAAACCACTGCTTGACTACTTTTGCAGTGTGTTTTGGATTGTTGTCTTGCTGAAAAACCCATTTTATTGGCATATTCTATTCAACATAAGGTAACATAACATCTTTCAGGATATTTTTATACATGAAACAATCCATTATTCCATCAATTCGATGTATTGGACCTAGACTGTTAGCACAAAAACACCCCCAGACCATTACATTGCCTCCACCATGCTTCACAGTCTCATAGCAGTAATGTAAATCAAGGTATTTTCTGGCCAGTTGATGTACATGGCAAATGCCATCGCTCCCAATGATGTTGAACTTTGATTCATCACTGAACAGGACAGTTCGCTATTTCTGCACATTCCAGTCAATATGAGATGTAGCTAACAGGAGTCTTTTCTTCTGGTTCTTTAGTCAAATCAGCAGTTTCTTTGCAGGGCGTCAAGAAAACAATCCGGCTTCAACAGCACGTTGTCTGATTGTTTGGTCTGATACATTGCCATTTTTGCACTTGAAATCATAAAAATAATAAAAATAAATAATCACGCTTCTTAAGGCTTGTTACATTTACCTTGTGATGATACAATAATGCTCTGTGGAACACAACATCTTGGTTGGATGTGGACTGTATTGATGTAATGAAACACTTGTTGTATTTCACTTTTTGTATTGATGTTCTTCGATAAAACACTTTGATAAAACTCACTTCGATAAATTGTCTTGATAATACTGATTGATTGACTTCTATATACTGACTGAAATACATGTCAGTTTACATGTCTCTTATATAGTAAAATGAACCTGTGTGAACCTGTGTGAAAAGACTCTAGATGCTTCTTTTCAATGCTTCTGGAAGCTTCTGGATGTGTCTGAATGCTTCTGAATGTTTCTGGATACTTCTGAATGCTTCCAGATGCTTCTTCTGGAAATTTCTGGAAGCTTCTGCATGCTTCTGGAAACTTCTGCATACTTCCTTTAATTATTAAAAAAATTGCGTGACATATGGTTCATTTTGTCTTTAAGACATGTAAAATTAGGAACACTTTTTAGCATTGTTCGAGGTTGGTTGCATATGTTTTGTCCAATGGATAATACTGGTAGGTGGAACTTCATCCCAATCTTTATTCAACAATTAAAATGTAATTTAAAACATTGAATAAATAAAAATCGTCTCAAATCGAAAGATTTATGCTTTGAAACTCTAGGTTATATATATATATATATATATATATATATATATATATATATATATATATATATATATATATATATATATATATATATATATATATAGAGAGAGAGAGAGAGAGAGAGAGAGAGAGATAGATATATATATATATATATATATATATATATATATATATATATATATATATATATATATATATATATATATATATATATAGAACCGCGCTAAACTTGTTTCTCTGCGCAGCAGCCTTGATTGTCAAAGTTTTTGTTTTGGAGTTATATAGTTAAGAACTATAATTAAGTATCAAAATTTACCAATGTTGTTGAATAATTTTGTTATGGATCCAAATATAAAAAAAAATATTATTAACGGATTTAGGACGACAGAAATATTCCCATTTAATGCAAACAATGTCAATTATAAAATAGTAATTCAATGTAATAAATTGAATTCTGCGATTGATAATAATGAAACGAATCTGATGTGGGAAACATATTTGAAAACAACGTTGCACCTGAAGTATTGTTCCAGTTTGAAAAAACTGAAAATAATTTACAGGGAGGAAAAACTGACTTCAGAGAACTATTTCATTTTTGGAAAAAACTGAAATTTAACAATAGCTCCAAACAAACCAGTAATTTAATAGAAGTCAACAATAATGTATCGAACAATGAAATCGATCAAGAATCGTATTTAGATATTAGCAGTAAACAAAATGAAGATTTATCTAGGAATGTTAGCGATTTCGGAAAAAGCCTATTAAATTATAAATTGAACGTAAAAATAAAGATGCTGAAAAAAAAGAATTGAAAGAAAAAGAAAAACAAGAAAAATCTAAAATAAAATAAAAATAAAAAACAAAAAAAAAACATTAAAAAAAAAAATTTAAAAAGAAAATAAGTTTAAATTCAGAAAAAAGCTATGGTGGATAATTTTAGAACCAATGTCTTCTTTGTTTTGTAATCATATTAAATTTATGTTTCTTGATTTAAATAAATAAAACTAAAATTAAAATATGCAATTTTTTTCATACACGATAGGTGGATAATCGATTACAGTAAATGGTGCTTTACCATGGTAGGTGAAAAAAACGTATTAGATCTTACAAAAAATTAAAAATAACATTAACAAAATAATTTTACTCAAATTTGAATAACATAAAATAATTAATAATTGAGTATAAAACATTAATTCGAAAATCCCAAATAAAAATCTGTTACGGTTTTGGAGTTGAGAAGGTATGAAGTTCAATGTTTTCTTAAAGTTGCGGTAGGGAAAGCCATGACCCTAGTTTGATCCAAATTTTTTAATTTTTCTAAACAATATCTAAAAATATAGAAGAAATAAAAGTGGTTTATATTTAAAATAAAATTATACTTATGTATATACATATATTTTTTATTTTGTACTCTTATAACACTTATCATTGATAAGTTGATGATTGATGGATTAATAAAAGTTTTTATAACATAAAGGGACAGATACAGTAAAAGGATGCAACTTGTTGAATAAGAAGTAAAGCATAAATGAGTTTTGGTTTATCATAATTGAGATGATTGTTTGAGGATTGACTATGATGGTATTTGTAGAAAAAAGAAAGAAATGCAACCTTAAAACAATGGAAGAGTGGCTCATGCTTGGCAGATAAAGCAGGTCTAACTAAATTTACAATGTGCTTTTAGACTTTGTCTAAGAGTAAAAGAGTTGTTATTCATCAATATAGAAATGTCAACATTATTGCAATATTTTTTTGCAGTAAATGAGTTTTGTTGTCTAACAAAAATTGTGTATTTTAAGTCCCAACCCTCGGAATTAGGAAAAATGAGGTCGGCAATAATTTGCTTACCTCAAACACTTTTAGGTCAGCAATTAGGTCGGCATATAGGTTGGCATTGCCGAATGCCGACCCTAACTCCAAGGGTTGAAGTCCAGAATATAAATCCATTAAACCATTGCAAGCCTTAGGCTGCTACAGAAGTGAGATCAGATTAAAATTTGGTTGCTTGTTCTAAGCAATCAAAAAGTGAAAATTTTTTGTCAAGACAAGAGTATAAAGTTGAGTTGTCAGCAAATAGAGCCACTTTAGATGTAAACTTTTTATGAAGATCGATATTGTAGATAAGAAACAATACAGAAGCAAAGATAGAACTTTGTGGTACCTTTAAAATTACTTGAAATAAAGAAGAGAGTAGAAAGAGAAGAGTGTAGGCCTTCAAGAATAACTTTAATACTACAGCTAGAAAACTTTAATACTGCAATTAGAAAACTTTAATACTGCAGTTAGAAAACTTTAATACTGCAGTTAGAAAACTTTAATACTGCAGTTAGAAAGAAATAATTGAATAATCTCAAAACATTTATAAAAAGTTTTATATAAAGAAACTTGAGAAATTGAGTGAAAAACATTTATATAAAGAAACTTGAGAAATTGAGTGAAGACTAATTGTAGAATAGTTAAAGAGGTCAAAGTGTTTTCTAGAGTTTTGAAAAATTGAAACCACTTTTTTAGTCTTTTTCAAAAAATTTATCAAAAACTGAAAAGAGTTCTGGAGAACACTTTTTTAAGACTATGATGGTAATCTTGTCTGAAGCATAAACTGTAGATTGAGAATTAACTTTAGCATTGGGACCCAGAGTGATGTTTAACAATATTTTAATCTGTTTAACTGGCAGGAAGAGTATGGCCATTAGATTCAAGAGTCGAATTAGAGTAAGATTTCTTTGCAAATAACTCTGCTTTATTCTGGGGAGAAGTAAAAATATCAGACCCATGAATTAGAGATAAAATATTAGACTTTCTTTTGTTAATGACACTGAGTTGAAGACTAACCAAAAGTCTCTAGAACCTAACATCTAATATAAAATACTTTATTTTGTAAACTAAGAATAACAGAGCTTAACATCAGACAGGACCTTTTTACATTAGCTTCTTGAAATAATAAAAAGATATTTGTTTTTAAGAGAAATGTTCTTGTTAAAAAAAAATAAAAAAAATGAATAATGTTTAATAAAACAACTGCTCAAGATGGTGAAAAATGTGGAGTAAAATGAAGCTTGACTTAAAATTGAAGAGTAGGAATAAAAGCTTGCAAACTTGTAGTCCAGAAGAAATAAAAGCTTCCAAGATGCGCTTTATGTATACATGTTATATAGATATAAACATATGTTTGCTATTTATTTAGATGCTGGCATACAATATCCTTTCATTTTTATATAAACTTTAGTATTTATATGGTGTAGTATTTTCTAAAAAAGAAGATGATCAGATAATGATGATGATGATGATGATGATGATGATGATGATGCATCATCATCATCATCATCATCATCATCATCATCATCATCATCATCATCATCATTATCACCATCATCATCATCATGATCATGATGATCATGTTGATTATAATGATGATTATATATGCATATATATATAAAAAAAAATACTTTACGATGTATAAATGTTTATGCAGCCCAGGTCACAAACCCAGCCCCAGCTATATTTTATCTGGCCCTGGCCCCAGTCAAATATCAACTCTGGTCACTTACTAGACAGTGGACATCTGATCTAATTTTAGAGAAGTTTTATGAACTAGCTTGAATTTTTAAATGAAATTTACTGTGGATTGTGATTGACATTAAACTTCATAGGTGACATAGTACTAAAACAGTCATTTACTGGGTTCAGAGATTCACACACATTAACTAAAGGTTTGGTTAGGTGGCATTTATGTAAAAAAAACTAATACTGCAAAAAAATTTTGTTATTCGTTTGAAACACCGAGCATTTGTGTATCTTTTAAGAATGATTAGTTTAAACACTTTGTGTTAAAAATTTAAGTTAAAGCAAAAATCAAAATATATCAAAAGATTTACTTATGAAAATAAAGTGCTTTGGTGGAGTCATACAATATCAATTTTTGGTAGGGTCATGTAACAGATTTTTTAAATGTCAATAGTCTTTTCTATCTAAATCTTTGTTCTTTTTAAAATTTCCACTATATTGTTACTCAGTTCTTTGTGAGGGGGTGTGACAATTATTTTTCCTCCTCTTCCATACACTAGAATTTTAACTCTAGTTAAAAAAATCATTGTTTTGTTACTAAAATAGTTTATGATATTGGTCATAAAGTTGTGATATCATAAATTTATGAATCCATAAAGTTGTGATATCATAAAATTTTGATATCATAAATTGAAAGTTGTGTTAAAATTAGACAAAAACAAATTGTTTAATAATAAAGGAAAAAACTTGGCATATCCTTAAAATAATGAAAACTTGTTTCTCTGCGTGACTTAACAGAAAAAAAAAAGAAAAAAAAAAAAGAAAAAAAATCTTAACCATCACCAAAAAGCCAGCTAAAAAAAGGCAATCAAGAAGAAGAGTTCTTGTTTTAATAGTAAATTGTGCTATGTAGCTTTTGGTACTTTTAGTAGCTGTTAAGGTAACTTCTGTTGTTACAAAAGTTATCTAATAGATCTGTAGGTGCATATGTTTTTTTAAAGATAAATTATTCAAACAAGTAAAAAATTTTATTGAGCAATAAAAAATGTTGTAATAGAATAATTAAATATAAATTTTTATAATTATTTTTGTTTAATAAGCTACTTTAATTTAAAAAAATCTCCCAAACAAATTAAGAAGACAAAAATACCTTTAAGGATCCTTGTGATGCCATTTTTTGAATATCCTCAGCACCCCAAAATGCTCCTGCAGGAACATATAATCCATTATTATTAGCAGCTGAATATAGTTGAGCCTCCAAGTCTTTATTTGCTAATGCTGTTGGAGAACCAACCTTTATAAAAACATATTAAACTATTAAAAAATATAAATACTAAAATTATTTAATATGGGGAAGAAGATTGGTAATGAAAGAATGGAAAAATGGAAATGGAAAAAAAAATTCTAACATTTCTGCAATGAAGATTCAATCTTTCTGCATGAGTGGCTTTTTTTATATGGAAAAAAACATGCAGAAAAAAATTTAATTTTGATTTTTATTAGTAAATTAAATTTAACTTTATTAAATGTAAGTTAGCCTTCATACTATTATGCTTGATTTATAAAATTACAATAATTCAAAAATTTAGAAGCACTGTGAATGTACTTCATTATACAAAATTTTCAATATTTTATAAAAAACTATAAAATAAGAAAATTATATAAGACAACTATTTGTTTTACAGATAAGAAATATAAATAAACAAGTATTTTACTACAAAGGTGCTTGTACATAGTAGTACTTAGTACATAGCAAAAATTATTTGCAAATTGACTTTGGCATTTTCAGCATTAGTACATATTATACAGCAAAAATAATTTGCTAATTGCCTTTGGTTTTTAGGAGGTTCCTCAGGATCATTTCAGATTTTGCTAAAATTTTTGGATTTAACAAATATAAAATAGAGATGTCTCAAATATTCTAGCTGAATATCTAACACAGTTCTTGAAAATTAAACATAAATATTGAAAATCTTATATATATATATATTGGTTATTAACAGCTAATAACTTTTAAATAACTTAATTTCACATTTCATTTTTTTAAATATAATAAGTATGCAATCGACAATTTAGGAAAAATAAAAATTCAAAATTTGATCTTGATTTTTTTTTTTCCATAATGGCAGGCTAAAGTTAATATTTGAGTTTTTGAATTAAAAGAGCTTGATCTTAAAAATCACATTCAAAATTGCTATTAAATTTAGTGTTGATCTACTCATGGTAAATAAACAGTTTCATTTAAAAGTTATTAATTGTCATAGTGAGCTTAAGCAAGATTATTTTAAATTGATCCCTGAAACAAGATTTTTTTAAATTGATTCTTAACACTAGATGTAGGCTAGTTAAAACATCATAGTTTATATGGGCCTGTGAAATATAGTGGTGTGGGCCTGTGTAATATAGTGGTTTAGGCCTGTGATATATAGTGGTGTGGGCCTGTGTAATATAGTGGTGTGGGCCTGTGTAATATAGTGGTATGGGCCTGTGTAATATAGTGGGCCTGTAGTACTTAAGTCCATTACTTTGCATTGTTAAATACTGTAACTTATTGTAAAGAAAATAAAATAAAGCAAAAACATTTGTTGAAAAATGAAATCTTTTTTGTACTAAAAAGCAGAAAATGAACTTTAACCTAAATTTAATAGTTCGGTAAACTAAAGATTGACAGGTCTGATTCAAAGTAAATTTTGTATAGACCTGTCAATCTTTTGTTTACTGAACTACTAATGTTGAATTAAAATTTTATTTTCCGCTTTTTAAAACAAAAAAGATTATATTTCTTAGCATATGTTTCTGCTATATTTTTCATTAAATAAATCTAAAAAAAATACAATACAAAAATATCATTTAGTTGAAGTACTTTATTGGAAAGTAAGAGCTACATAACATCTTTAACAAATTAAGACTAAAATTAACTAAAATGTCAAATTTTATAACTATTAAAATTTATTAGAGCCTTTTATTCAAAATTTTTATAAATTGACCACTAAAAAATATTACTGTGCACTTATTGGATACTGCACTAGTTGTTAAATAATTAAACCTGAGTCAAGCAACAACTTTTCGTAAATTCAGCTTTGTGCATATATATATATATATATATATATATATATATATATATATATATATATATATATATATATATATACATATATATATATATATATATATATATATATATATATATATATATATATATATATATATATATATATATATATATATATATATATATATATATATATATATATATATATATATATTCTTTTACATTTTAAACATGGTTAGTAGTATCTCAACTTGGGTAATAATATATTGAAGCTGTAATATGTAAGAACTTAAACTAATTGTAATTATTATTAAAATTTATTTTATTAAATAAAATTTACCATAAAATCACACTTGCTCAGAAATTTTGCTCCAAATTGTTCAGTAATTGAAATGTGAGCAACTTCTATGATTAAATCAACATTTCTAATAAACAGATTTAAAAAAAAACTTAATTGTTCTGTTATTGTTTATTTAATAAATTTTCAATAAAAAATTTTACTATTTACCAATAGTTATATTTATTTATTTAAAAATAAAAAACAAAGTGTTTTTAAACATAAACACATATTTCACATGCTTTTTCACACAAAGTTCTGAGTCAATATGATACAAACCATTAAGAAAAAATATATTAAATAAATTTATAAACTAATAAATTTATAAACTGAGAAAGTTTTTACTTTTTGTAGTTTTTTTTATACCTCATCAAACTGATAAAATCTTCAAAGTCATAAATTATTTTTAATTTTTTTCATTACTCTGTCAATTTTGAAATTTACAGCTATTTTAAAAAATGTATGCAGCAGTATTAAGTTTGAAATTTACAGCTATTTTAAAAAACGTATGCAGCAGTATACAAGTTTGGATGTTTATTAGGTCAATTCTATATAATTTCCTCCCTCTCCAAACTAATACTTAGGAACAAGGATCAATTTTTCCAATAATCAAAATTATTAAAACAAATATTCCTGTGTTTTTTTTTAAATTAGATACTACTATTTTTAAATACTATTAAAATTTTATTACAATAATCAACTACGCATGCATACCCCAATAAAGCCTGATGTTGTAATCTATAAGTGTAAGGTTTAAATCTATTAAAGTATTTATTTCATTACTTTTTTGATTTTGATTTTTGATTTTTCTCATTTTAACAGTAAGATAGACATGATTACAATGAAGCATAGACACAAAACAGATTGCCCTAACTTCAGTTTAAGATCTTTATTTTCCTATTGAACTCTAAATCTAATTTTATCCAGTTTAGATTATTATATAGCTATACCCCGCTAATGCCTTTTTTTAATGCCATTTTTTTAATAAAAAGTAATGAGTGATTTTTCTAAAAATTTCTGAAATCTTTATAAAGATTCTATAATCTGAATAAATACCTTAAAATGCAAACTGAAATGCATTTATGATACTATAGAATACATTCGCATTTTCTTAAATTAAGTAAAACTCATACATACAATATGTAACTCACTCTCTCCAAGTTTTCTTACCACTACCACTCCCATTTTCTCCTGAAGCTGCTACCTTTCTACATGCTGATTAATGTAATCTATGACAAACATTATTCAATACAACATTTTTTCTAATATTATTAAGATTATGTCTCCTTTTAGGTCTTGTTAGAGTCATACCATTTTTCTTTATTTTTATTTATCTTGTTAGAGTCAGATTTCTATCATAGTCGTACAAATGTGTTAAATAAGTTTTTAATTTTTAAAAACTCTAGAAAACACTCTGACCTCCACAACTACACTACAATAAGTCTTCACTCTTATTATTAATTTCTTTATATAAAGGTTTTGAGATTATTAAATCTTTTATTTCTAACTGCAGTATTAAAGTTATTGTTTAAGGCCTACACTCTTCAACATTTTTTATTTATCAAGGATAGAGCATACACTCTTCAAGGTTCTTTCTTTGCTCTTGTAATGCTTCTTAACAATCTTCCTGAAGAATTTACATCTAGAGTGGCTCCATTTACTGATAACTCAATTTTATACTCTTGTCTTGACAAATAGTCTTGGGGCTTGCAGTGGTTTGTGGATTTTAACTCTAACAAAACTCAGTTATTTACTGTTAACAACTATTACAATACTGTTGACATTCCTATTTTGACAAATACCAACCTACTCACTTTCAGACGAGGTCCAAAAGGACATTTAAAATGTAGTTAAACCTCCTATATTTACAAAACTTGAGCCACTCTACCATCATTGTAAGGTTGCATGTCTTTCTTTTTTCTAGAAATACTATCATAGGCACTGCTCAAACTAACTATCATCTCTTGTTTGATCAACCAAAACTAATTCTGCTTGCGGGTTGGGCCAGGACCGCAATCACTTATTAGTGATAAGTCTGACAATCTTTTCTTACTCAGTCAATAATAAGTATGACTTGATGTGCTTGGCTGAAAGCATTCTGGACATACACTATTAATTGATAACATGGTGTGTCTTTTACAATGTTAGTTTGGTTTTATTAAGAAGGACACAGAGAATATTACTTGTAAAAAAGTGAAAGACATTACTGCGTTAATTTTTGAACAAAAGAAATTCTTGAGTAACATTATGGGTTCAGGAATTTCTTGAGTCTAAATTAAATATTTAAAAATTAATTATCTAAGCTACTAAACTCAACTTTAATTGCAATTTCTTAATTCATATTTTAACTTTAAATTTAAATACTGAAATTTACTGAAAGTCTTTTTATTTTGGTATGCTTAAAGGTTAACATGGTTGGAGCAGTCCTGAATAAAAATTTCTTAGATAAATTTATCTTCCTCAATTTCTCAATTGGTTTGAGTATATTGACAAAATAAAAATTGTTTACTTACATTGTATTACAGATATATACAGATATATTTTTTATTCTTATTTTTTATTAAGCAACCACTATTAAGTTGGAAGTTACCAGGAAAAAAAAAAATAGAGTTATAAAAGACTTGAAGAATTTTAGGTTGTATGAGTCAGGAAAATATGAAGATGGGAGAAAGTTCCAAAGGGTTGAAATGCGGGGAAAGAAAATAGATGAATAAAAGCTGTAAGAGCATGCAGGGACGAATACAGTAAACGAATGAGACTTAGTTGGACCCGTTCAGATAGAGTGGGTACAACTAAGTTTATAATGCATTTTTGGACCTTGTCTAGAAGAGAAAGAGCATCAATAGAAAAACCAGCCCAAATATGACAACAGTATTCCATACAAATATGACGAACAAATAGTATTTGGAAAGTATCCATATTCAACCCTGTATTCCATACAGGGATGAATAGAGGTAAAGAATGGAATCAGGAGTAAAAAATGACGAACACAATTAAAAAAAAAACAACCTTAGCAGATACTAATTTAGCAATCTAATGTATATATGGTTAAGAAGGTCAATAGTAAATGATAATCCAAGAAAACATCACCCAAAAGAAGAAATCACGGTGAGAGGGTTGCCGATTATTTATCTAGGAATGTCGACAGTATTGAGATAGTTGTTTGCAGTAAATTTTTTAACTCCAACTTTATTGGAGTTAAAAAAGATCAGATTCAAGATGCCTGTTCTAAAAGATCAAAAAAAGAAGACTTTATGTCAAGAAGACTTTATGTCAAGAAGACTTTATGTCAAGAAGACTTTATGTCAAGAAGACTTTATGTCAAGGAGTATAAAGGAGTATAATGTTCCTTTTGCCACAAGATCATGTCTAAAGATTGAACTTGAAAAACAAAGCATGTTAAAAAATTTTGCAAGTGTCCTGATATAGTACTATATGAAATGTCTAGGTAAATAAATCATATAATTAGAAAGAAAATGCAAAAAAATTTAATAAAAAATTAAATTATGAATAAATAATTTATAAATCATCAAATGAAGGTGGTCTGGGAAATTCAGTAAATAATAACAATTCAAAATTTTTCTTGAAATTAAGTTTAGTACAGGGCTTTTTTTTATAAGGGTCTACTAGCAATATATATTTTTTTGACAAATATAACAAACAATCTATGACCAAATTACTGCATAATATACAAATGCTCAAAGAAATGTATAACATCAACAGATAACTTATTTCTTTAAGCATTTGAAGTCTGACATTAAATTGGCATGGTATTATTTACATTATCAAAATTAAAATGGTAACTTTCTTATAGCATAAGAATAGTTTCTATACAGGGTTGGCATTAAAAAACCCGCCCAAAAAAACCTGCCCAATAAAACCAAAAAAAACCCGCCTAAAAAAACCCAATAAAACCCTGGAAAATCTGGGTTTTATTGGGATTTTTTAAAGATATTTAATAAGTTTATGAACTGTTATAACCAACTTTAACATTATAACTATAATATTATTAACTAAAATAATTATTAACTATTATTATTAACTAAATTATTATTAACTATTATTATTAACTATTATAACCAACAATAACAGCTATCAGAGCAGGTCTACTATTATTTGAATCAAAAAATTACATTTTTTATTCAAATATTTTTATCCATTGAGATTTTTATTACTTTTTGTTATTCACCTCCCAAGTTGAATTTAAATGAGCAGTAGTGACCAGAGAAGCCAACACAACAGTCGAGGAGGCTACCTTGTTGTGGTTACAATCCTCTCTCAACTCTTACGCGGTAGTGGTGTTGTGGTAGAGCGCTTGCTTCATAAGTGAGAGGATCCGAGTTCAATCCCCACCACATCCCTGGCAGTACCGCGCTTAAATCCTTTCTCCGCGCAGCGGCCTTGTTCGTCAAGGTTTGTGTTTCGGAGTTATAGAGTTGAGAAAGGGTTGAAGTGGCCTTAAGCCTTGAGGAGGTGAATTGATTAAAAAAAAAAAAAAACTCTTTAATTCCTAAACACGAATCTTTATAAACAAGGCCGCTGTGCAGAGGAACAAGTTTGTTCATTTGAATTTCAAGTTCAAAGTTTAATTGAAACTTCAGTTACTACCTCCCATTCTCTAGCCTTCTTTTCCCCATTTTCTCATTGACATTTTTAATTATATAAAAAAATACTTTTAAATTTAAAATAAATCAATACATATAGACTAGGCGTAAAAATTTTTTTTTCTATTACAATTTAAATTATATATAAAAATCTTTTTCAAAATAATTTTAAAAATTCTTGTTATAAATAATTAAACAACAATATATAAAATATATTTTAAATAAAGTTAAAGTAGAAAATAAAACTAATTTTCAATATCATTAAACAAAAACACAAAAAAATTTTTTACAGGGACAAAATAAAAATTAAACCCAAAAAAACCCAAATTTACCCAATAAAACCCAATAAAACCCCAAAAAAGCCACTGGGCCGGTTTTTTTTAAAAAAACCCGGGTTTTTGCCAACCTGTTTCTACATATAATGACAGTATCATAGTTGTTAGGAAATACAAAATGACAAGTAAACATTTCTATATAATATGATATATAACTTAATTTATATAGCTAATTTAATTTTTTGTTAAAAATAATAAAGTTAAATTAGTGTTTATACATGTAATTGCAGGGTTGGCAAAAACCCGGGTTTTTTTAAAAAAACCCGGCCCAGTGGGTTTTTTTGGGTATTATTGGGTTTTTTTGGGTTTTTATTTTTTTAAATTTTGTTAAAAAATTTTTTTTGTTTGTTTAATAATATTGAAAACTAATACCAATTTTAATTATTTAAGTTTATTTAGAATATATTTTATAAGTTTTTAAAATTTATACACCTCAAATTATTTTCAATAAGTTTTTTTTAATTACAGTTTAAAAAAAATCTAAAAATGTGAAAAAATAAAAAAAAATCATGATAAACCTATATGCATTGATTTATTTTAGATTTAATAATAATATTTTTTATAATTAAAAATGCTGATGGGGAGAAAGTGGGAGAAAGAAAGCTGGAGAATGGGATGAAGTGACTGAAGTTGAAAACAGTACAAAGGTTTCTTGTGACTATTGTCATGCTTTGATTAGCAACAAGATAGAACGAGTAAAACCCCATTTAAAACATTGCCAAAAAAAGTTTTTACACAAGCATACGGAAAGAGAAAATCTCAATTTGTCAAAATATTTAAATAAAAATTGTGATGATGTACCAAATAATGATTTAAATATTAATGCATCTGCTCTAATAGATGGACCATCATCTCTAATAGCTGGACCATCAGCTCAAGTTGGAAAAAGTTCTTTGGCATCTGTAAGTTCTATAAGTTCGTTAACACCTTGTAAGAAGCAGCGGTTGATGTCATCGTACACAATATCAACTAATATGGAACAGAAAGAAAATATTGATATAAAAATAGCAAAATTTTTCTTCAGTGCAAATGTATCATTTAAAACTTCTGAAAATCAAGAATTTATAGACATGATCAGTTCATTCATCCAGGATACAAACCACCTAACCGTAAAATGCTAGGAGGAGAGCTCTTAGAAAAAGTTTATGAAGAAGTAAACAAAAAAATGATGGATCAACTTACCCAAGAAGAGAAAACAATAACAATTATGCAAGACGGGTGAAGTAGTGTTACTTATGATCCCATTATTGCTCACAGTGCATATGACGGACTTAATTCTAAAATTTTATGCATTACTGATTGTGCATCAAATAAAAAAACAGCCAAGTATTGTACCGAACTCTTTTGTAATGTCATTAAAGATCTTAAAGAAACATACAATAAAGAAGTATTTGCTGTGGTAACAGATAATGAAAATAAGATGAAAAAAATGAGGGATTCAATCAAAGAAACGTATCCAAATCTTTTAACATATGGGTGTTCTGCACATTATTTAAACCTTTTAGAAAAAGAAGTAACACACCCAGATGTCATCAAACATGTGGTTGAAGTGCAGAAATATTTTCGTAATACACATCAACCGCATGTAAACATTATTTTGTATTTGTGGGTTAAACTTAGAGTATAAAAAATATATAAAAGTTTAAAATTAACTATTCAATTTTTATTTTAAGGGATGGTTGCGTGAGAAAGGAGGGCATATGCCTCAGTTACCAAACGATACTCGATGAAACTCCCAAATTGACTGTATAGAAACATACATAAAAAACTACCAAATTTATGTAGAAATAGTAGATAATCATGATATACCTATCAAAATCAGAAAAATTATTGAAAATCGAGCAATATTTAGAGAAGCTAACAGTCTTCAAACCCAACTCAAAATATTTGGTGTTGTTTTAGATCAAGTATCTAATTTTTTTATATTAAAGTTTTTTTACATAATGAGATTTTGTAGGTGTAAAGAAAAAGTAATAAAAATAAGTATATTGAGTTGATTAAATAAATTAAAAATTTAATTTTTTTTAGATGCAAAGTGACAGCTGTCACCTATCCGAATGTGTTGAGTTGTGGCTCTCACTTTTGAATAACCCTGAACTAAGTCATTACCACACAGCTATCAAAAAGAGATGTAATGATGCTATGACACCTATCCATTATCTTGCGACCAATCCTCGCTTTTTGGGTAAAAATAAGTTTTGCTTAAAAAAAAAATTGTTTTGAAAAATTTCTGAATTTTTTTTTTATAGGCAAAAACCTGCCGATTGAAAATGAAGATGAGGCTGAAGAATGGCTTTACAATCATTATCCTGATTTTGTACCTGGGTTGATTTTGCTTAAATTAAAGGATTGTGATGCATTTTCTAAAAGGATGTTGACTAATCAAATTATATCAACAATATTGTGCAGTGATTGGTGATCTATCATTAACCAGAGAAATGAAAAATCAATTCAGAAAAAATTGCCTGAAGGATTTTGCAAATTTATTTCTAAACTTCAAACGTGCCCTGCTAGCTCAGGATCAATAGAAAGAATATTTTCTTCATTTGGTTTTATTTGGTCAAAAGTTAGATATAAATTAGGATGTGAAAAGGCTAAAAAGCTTGTGCAAATATATAAACAGTATCAAAAATAGTTTATAGTTTATGTTTTAACATTAAAGTTTATGCTTTTACAATATAAAGTGAATATTACATTAAAGTAAAGTTGTACTTGCAAGAAGTATACCAAAAATGTAAATAGTCTTGTCAATGTGTATCTATTCTAAAAAATCTTATTGAATGAATCTAATTTGTTTGGTTTCCAAAATAAAATTGTGTTAAATAAAAATGTTGTGTTTAAATTGAAAATTTCCCTTTATAGCTAGCTCTATAATATGTTTATGTTTTCAGAAATGTTGGTTAATAATAGCATATATTATTAATATAATAGTTCATAAGTTTTTAGATATATTTCAAAAAAACCCAGATTGCCTGGGTTTTATTGGGTTTTTTTAGGCGGGTTTTATTGGGTTTTATTGGGCGGGTTTTATTGGGCGGGTTTTTTAATGCCAACCCTGTGTAATTGTGCTTTTAATGATCATATACTAAAAATAAGAAAAACTATACTAAAACTTATGCAAAAAAAAGCAGACAAACACCAAAAAAAAGATTTTTGACCCAAAAACCCAAAAACACCAACAACAAAAAAACTGGGTCTTCTTTTTTGTCTTAAGTCTTCAATAATTTTTTTTTGCTATATAGTTAGCTCATAATAGGTGCAAAAAAAACAAGACAAAAAATTTGGGTGGATATATTAGCCTCTCATTCATGCAAGAAAATATAAAATGTCACAACGTGATCAAAATTTTCTCATTTTTGTTTTAAACAGTAATTTTTCTTAAATAGTAATATTCAGAACACGCCCATACTATATCAGTGTCAAATTGCGTCCATATTATATTGCTGTCATATATACAACGTTTTAAAGTTTTTTGATGATTTTTTCTGAAGATGTAAGCTGTTTCACTAAAGTCTTGGCACTTGATTAGGGTCGCATTTCTGTTTTTCCATTATTGTTTTGAATTAAGTACACTGCAAATATTCCTGGTTTTGCTGGTGCTTTTGTAAATAATTTATTTTTTAATTGTATTTATAATATCCTCTATAGAAACAAAATAGATATTGAAATTCGTCTCATTTTTAAGAGCTTTATGAAAAGTTATGACATCAGTCATTGTAAATTTTCTCTGGATTATTTTTTGCGTTGCTATTCTTTTAATGGTCCCACCAATAGTATCTACCGGTCCTTTACCAAGTGAAGCAGCAAAAAAGCCCCAGAATAATCTTAAATCATTCTGTTCTTCAAACCAGGTTATTGCTGATGCAATAAAACGATTTTTAAATTGATTACTTGGCCCGTCTGTGCAAGCCTGTAGTATTTTAACACTTAATTCAAAATGGTTAGATAAATAATAATTAATGAACAAATACAAGAATAGATTCTTTTGAATGGTTTAAACCATCTGAAACTATGACAACTGATAAGCATGAATTTTGGTACAAAAATACAGCAATAAACACAGTAACTTGCTTTAACAGCAGTAAACACAGTAACTTGTCAATGTGCTGACTGCACTTCATCTTGCCACAAAGTTGAAAATTTTTCAGCAAAATCCACTTGAAGAACAACTGGATTAACAGGTTGCCAAAGTTTGATGAATATGTTTCTAATGTAATAGACTTATTTGGTGACAATTCCAACAAACCGCTCTTTGTTTTTGACCAATGGTCCTCAGAAAACGTGCAGAAAATTGAACAACCACTAACATCTTCGTTAGACGGGTGCATATTACTGCGTCAGCAATGGCTAGATTATATACATCATGTGTATATAAAGCGACAACAAAGTGCATATTTTCATTTATGTTGCCAAAATGTATAAGAAAATGAATTGTTTATACAAGTAAGAAAAATTGTAAATTTATTTGTAGTATGATAACAAAACTTAATAATTTTGTATTAATCTTTTTGTTAAATTTATAAACTAATTATTCATCCATTTATATTTTTAACTCTTCTAAAATTAGATGGATTTCAATGAAAATTACACCATAATGGAGCAAAGTGAAATTCAATCTGCTTACTGGGTTCATCAGCAACTAACAGTATTCGCTGCAGCAGTTTGGAGTAAGAACAATACACATTCCTAGGCCATTGTATCCAATCATTTACTTCATGATAAATATGCCGTCTTGTTCATTATCAAAAAATTATTAATTCGTTATCAAAATATTTGTAAATTATACTTTTTCAATGATGGTCCTTCATCGCAATTCAAAAACTCTTATGTCATGACAGCCATAAATAATTTGTACAAATTATCATCTGATCTTCTTGAGATTCGTTGGTCATTTTTTGCAACATCACACAGAAAGGGGGCAGTTGATAAGATAGGTGGAAAATAAAAAGAATGGTTTGGACAACAGTAAAATCTGGAAAACGATATTGTCGCAGTTTAGAAGATTTTGTGAGCATTGCAAGTGAAAAAAATACCAAAATTAGTGTAAGTCATTATTTATAGAAAAAACCTCAAAATGAAAGTTGAAGATATGAAACTTTTAATTATTAAATTTTCATTTTTTTAGATCATCTCTATTACAAATAAGTGTATTACGGCAAACCAAAGTGAGATCGATGAGACGCTTCTCAAAGATAAGTTTAAAGTCAAGGGTAATTGTCGCCACCACTCTTTTCTTTTTAATATTGATGGCGCTTACATAGCAATTTGTAACCAATCAGAAATGGTAAAAATTGTTAAGAATTAATCATTTTCATTATTGATAAACGCGGTATCATCCCCATCTGAAAGGTACAAATTTGATACTATTTCTCCAGGTATATTTGTCTTTGTAGAATTGTGTTCTGCTGGTGGAGCAAAGACATACCTTGCCAAAGTATTAGAAATTTTAGATAATATGGCACATATTAAATTCCTAAAATAACAAAACAAACTCATTTTTATATACCCATCTGTAGACGACCACTCTTGGTATGACTTGTGTGAGTTAAAACCATTAGTACCACAACCACACTTTGATAACCGTGGACATATTATTATCGAGCTGAAGTGTTACAACTAAACTTACAGTTAAAAATTTGATATTGCATCTTTCTTATCTTTAATGTATTATTAATTATATAATACATTACTTATCTTTAATATAATACACTTAAGTATATATTTTTTTTTAATCCAACGTGTATTAAATTAATTAGTATTGATATATATATATATATATGCTATTTATGATAGTCGCTATTTATGATAGTCGATTTTTTTCCAAAAATACAATCCAAAAATGACTAATGTTTCCATGTTCCGCTGGTTACTTTTTTTTTTGTCCATGCGTGATTTTGGTTTAAACTACTATTACAGAGCATAGATACATCGTAGAATGTTGTAACTTTGTAAAAATCTTTAAAAATGCTTGCATAATTACCTATAAAAAACAGAACACCCGTTACTAATACATTTTTAGAGAAAATAGGATTTATTTATTAATTTTTTATTTTTTGCTTTTTTCTGTTCCATGCGTGACTCCATTAAAAAAATTCATTTATTTTATAATGAAGCAACCCATAGCTACCATATTTTGTATAGGTAATATATACATAAATGTCAATTAAATAAAAGTAAGTCAGTGGTTACAAATTGCATTATTTTCAAAATAATTAATGCAACAGATGCAATGTTCCGTGCGTGATTTTTTGGAAATGCCCATGATCATCATACTCATTACTACAATTATCATCATTATCATCATCATCATCATCATTATCATCATCACTATCATTATCTCTTTCCGCAAATACTACAAAAAGATATTGTATGTCAGCATCTAAATAAATACCAAACATATATGTTTATACCCATGATATGTATGCATAAAGTGCATATCAGAAGCTTTTATTCCTTCTGGACTTTAGTCCAGATGAAATGTATTTCTCTGCATGCGCTCAATGTGTTTCTCTGCACAGCGGCCTTGGTTGTCAAGGTTCATGTTTTGGAGTATTATATAGTTGAGAGAAGTTTATGACTACAATTAAGAAGCCTCCTCACCTGTAATGGCGTTTTCAGCCTTGGGGAAGTGAATTAACATATAAAAATATAATAATAATAAATTAGACCTTTATCTGCCAAGCGTGAGCCACCCTCCCATTGTTGTAAGGTTGTATTTCTTTCTTTTTTCTATAAATACCATCATGGTCAATCCTCAAACAAGCTATCATCTCTATTATGATAAACCAAAACTCATTCTTGCTTAGCTTCTTATTCAATAAGTAGCATCTTTTTACTGTATCTGTCTCTTCATGCTATATAAACTTTTATTAATCCAGTTTTTTTCCTTGCATATCAAAAAAACCTTATAACTCTTAGCCATCTTCATGTTTTTCTGCTTTTTACAACTTACAACTTTTAAATCTTCAGATAACTATTTCCTAGTATTTTTACTTATTCTTTATTTTAAAGTAACTTATAACTTTATAGTGGTTGCTTGCAATCTTGTTGGAAGTAAACTAGAGTTTGAAAATATTTAAATATATGCCAGTATTTAACAAATAGTAAATATAAGCATAAAATTAAAATATACATTATTAGTATAATAAATTTTTTTCTAGCCCCGGCTATCAACCCCAGCTAAATCTTATTGTTTAGCGCGGGTTGGGGCCAAGTTAGAAAAAAGTCTCATTTTCAGCCAGGGCTGGGGCTGTGGCCCTGGTCACGTACTAATTAGCACATTATTTGATTTTGTTAATGTTACTTTTTCCTGAGTTAATGAAAGTATATAATTGGGTATCATTGGCATATTGATGATGATTGTGCCATGTTTAGCTATAATATAGATTGTGCCATGTTTAGCTATAATATAGTATATAGGTAAAACAAACATTGAAAATAAAAATGGGTTTAATACACTATCTTGTGGTACTCCTGTTGAACTTGCTGACAATCCAGATTTTGTTGCCAATGAAAACAAAGGATTTTTGAGAATGCAAGTATGTCAGTCATTTTAGTGCAATACCTGTGATACCTAGTTCATCTTTTGTATGAGCAATTAGCAGATAGTGATAAATTGTATAAAATGCTGCAAATATGTCTAGAGAGAAGAGAATGTCATTGTATATCTTTAGCCATGCTGTTTATGTTAAGTGATGAAGAAGCCGATAAAGTGAGCTTTTAAAGAATTTTAGATATTGTATTGAAATTTGATATGGGGCGTAAATCAGTGAGTTTAAATACTGTTTGTCCTGACCTTAAATGAGACTGTGAAAATTCGAGATTTAAATGACACGTCAGGAGGTTAGCTATTATTGAACTAAATAATTCAACATGATTGAAGAATACTTGTGTGAATGAGGGACAATGTCATAGGTTTAAGAGTTTTGATTACATGCAAAACATCAGTAGATATGACTTTACCAAATGTTGCAAAAGTATCTACAGGGGGGAGATTACTCCATAATAAAATCATGCATGCATGTATGTATACATATACATATATATATATATATATATATATATATATATATATATATATATATATATATATATATATATATATATATATATATATATATATATATATATATATATACATATATATATATATATATATATATATATATATATATATATATATATATATATATATATATATATATATATATATATATATATATATAATCACAATTTTGTTTATAGGTCTTGCTTTAATTATTTAGGATGAAATGAGTTTTGTTATACTACTTTTAGCTTAATAGCATTAGCTAATGAATAACTGTAAACAAACCTTTCAAAAAATTGATTTAAATCATGCAAGATTTCATTCTCTTGCAAACCAGATAGTTTATCAACACTTCTATTCCAAACAAAAGCAACATCTAATCCATAATCATTGTTCTTTAATTCTCTATATATATACTGACCTAAATTTGAAAAAAAAACATGTTTTTAGAAAAAACAAATAAAGCAAAAATAAGTCAAAATAAGTTAAGTAAAGTTTGTTATAACTAAATAGAGATGTATATATTTTCAAATATTGCAGGGAAAATAGCAGATAATTCCACACATCTGTTAATGTGGCTTTACAAAACTTAAAAGGAAAATAACACTTTACACTCCCAACATTATGACAACACTCAATGCAAAGGCCAATCAGGTTCATTAACTATTTATTACTGTAGATAGAAAAACTCACACAACATCAGACTTTTCTAACATTCATTATAACCACATTATCAAATAATTCTGCTTCTTCTGTCAAGCTATGATTTTTTTATTGCAATTCAAAATGTCTAATTTTTTAAAAGTGATCTTTATCCCCAAAATATTACCATTATTTTTATTAACAGTAGCACTACAAACATTAACACTTAATTTAGAGCAGAATTATGAAATATAAAATTGCTTAGATATTATCTAAGCAATTTTATATTTCATAATTTTGCTTATTGTAAAAAATAACCATATTAATTATGTTGGCTCAAAAGAGCTATAATTATACTAGTCTATAACAAAATAACACAATACATAAAGTATATAGAATATCATACAAAACATATATATTTATATATATTCTCCATATTTCATATTATCATAACATTCACCCTCCTCTTAAAAGTGTTCAGGTGTATTTATAAGTTGAGTTTTTCTGGTGCTTTAGAAATTCGTGAAGATCTACGAGGAGGCAGAGTACTTTGCTCTATAGGATTCCCTCTGCTTTCTAGTTCCTCTTCAGAGACTAACGGAGTTTCATTGCTACCATTAGGGGTTAAGGGGTAGTTATCAATAGCTGGTATTTCTAAATTGTCATTTGATGTTTGTACTATAGGAGTTGTTCCGATAGGAGCCAGCTGTTTTGTAGACACTGTAGTCTCATGACCATTAGGAAATCTCACAATGGCATAATGAGGATTTGCTTCAATGAGCTGAGCCTCATTTATTGAATCTTCATATTTACTTTGCATTGCATTTCTTTTTATAAGTACAGGTCCAGGGTTAACAAACCATGAAGGAATTGAAGACCCAGATGATGATCTTTTTTGAAAATTAAAAAAACGTTCATGTGGACTACAATTAGTAGAAGTACATAATAGAGATCTTGTAGCATGAAGTGCATCAGGCAAAACTCTTTTCCATGATGATATAGGCAGATTTCGAGATTTCAGAGTAAGTAATATGCCTTCCAAATAATTCCATTGTATCTTTCAATTTGCCCATTTCTAGTCGGATTGTATGGGGTTGTTCTACTAGTTGCAATCCCTTTTGATAAGAACCAGTGCTTTAATTCAGAAGACATTAATGAGGATCCACGATCTGAATGAACATAGCTAGGCATACCAAACATTGAAAAAAGATCAGCTAAACAGTTTATTATTGTCTGAGTTGTCATATCTTTCACAGGATAAGCAAATGGAAAACGTGAGTATTCGTCTACAATTGTTAGCATATACTGTTCAGGGGTTGAAGAAGGTAATGGGCCTTTGAAGTCAATAGATATACGTTCGAATGGATGAGTCGCCATAATCAGGTGCACATCATTTGGGCGGTAGTACTTGGGTTTTATTTCTCTACATATTCTACAATCCCTACATATTTGTTTTACATCTTCTACTGAATAAGGGAGGTTTCTTGATCGAATAAAATGATGGAAGCGAGTAACACCAGGATGGCAAATTGCAGCATGCAAATTATATAAAGATTCTGAACTTATTGCTGCACATTTAACTCGAGTAAATGTATCTGGACCACTATTACATTGGCCAGGACGATAATGGATATCATAAGAATATGGAGACAAAGCTATTCTCCAACGCATTATTTTATCATTCTTTATTTTACTGCTTGATTTATAATCATACATATACGCCACAGATCGTTGGTCAGTGATGAGAATGAAATGTCGACCCAAAAGAAAATGACGCCAATGATTTATGGCTTCAACTATCGCTTGAGCTTCTTTCTCCACTGATGAATAGTATTGTTCACTCCCTTGAAGGGTACATGAATGGAAGGCAACAGGTCTTCCATCCTGATTAAGTGTGGCAGATATGGCAAAATCAGAAGCATCAGTCTCCACAGTAAAAGGTATATTCTCATCAATGGTTTGCATGGAAGATTGAACAAGTTCATTTTTTAATGTTTCAAATGCTGATATTTGCTGCTGATTGAGTGGAAATTGAGTAACAGAGTTTAAAGGTCTAATTTTATCTGAAAACTTTCTTATCCATTTTGCATAGTACGAAAACATTCCAATAATTTGCTGTAAAGACTTTGCATTATCAGGTGTGGGTAACTTGATGAGAGGAGCAAGTCTCTGAGGATCTGGTTTTAAAGAGCCATACGATATACGGTAACCTAAAAAATCTAAAGTCTTAGTTGAAAATACACACTTCTCTTCATTAAATGTAATTCCAGCATCAATGGCAGCTAATCTGAACTTAAGTAGATTTTCATCATGTTCTTTCTGACTATTACCGCATATTGTAATGTTATCAATGAAAGGAAAGCAGTCAGTTAGTTTATATTTTCTAACAAAGTCATATATTTTGTGTTGAAAGCATGCAGATCCATTGGTAACTCCAAAAGGCATTCTAGTATATTGCCACAACTTATTGTCAGCTTCAAAAGCAGTATATGGTCGATCTTTTTTTGATAAAGGGATTTGGTAGTATGCTCAGCGAAGGTCGAGAGTACTATAAACTTTGTATTTAGAAATTATATTCACAATCGTTTCAATCTTAGGTAGAGGATATGCATCTAATTGAGTATATTTATTAATAGTTTCAGAGTAATCAACAACCATGCGACGTTTAGTCTTTTCATTTACTACTAAGACCTGGGCACGCCAAGGTGAATTACTAGGCTCTATTATTGCTGCTTGAGTCAGGCGATGGATTTCAGATTTAATAAATTCTTTATCTCTTTGAGAATAATTTCTAGATCTAGTGGCAATCGGTCGACAATCTTGCGTGAGATTAGCAAATAATTCAGGAGGTTCAGTTTTCATTGTTATAAATGCAGCAAATGTTATCATTAATAATGATGTTATGACAAACTCTGAATAGAGAGTTTGCTGAAGCTGATATGGTGGCACAGAAGTAATCATCATCAATTTTAGGAATAGCAGCAGAAACATTAGATGATCTGCAAAGTTTTTCAAAATGACCAATCTTTTTACATTTGTGACAGATAGCTTCGCGAGCAGGACATTTAGTACGTGGATGTCTTATGTTTCCACAAAACCAGCACAATTGTTTTGATTTTGCTGTAGCGGCTAAGTGATTATCAGTCATGGACTGTTTTTGTAAAGGTGATTTGATTTCCTGAATAGAGGCAGAGGTAGGTATAGTCAATTGTGAGTATAAGTTTGAGTTTTGTTGGGCCACGTCTAAAGATCTAGCTTGGTCAAAGGCTGATGAAAGGTCTAATATTTTGTTTTCTAGTAAACGTTGGCGTATACTATTGGAGAGTAAGCCATTTATAAACGCATCGCAAATCATTTCAGATTTATATTGCTCAGCTGTAACAGCAGTGAACTTACAGTCCTTAGATAAATTTTTAAGTTCATTGAGGAATTGATCTATTGTTTCACTTGGTTTTTGCTTTCGTGTTGACAAAATGTGTCTGGCAAATATTTCATTCTTTGGTTTTATGTAGATAGACTCGAGAATACTTGTTGCTTGTTCAAAATCATCACACTCTGATATGAATTCATATACATTATTCAATATGGTTCAATATGGTTTATTAGGAAAAAAATACATACTGAAACTTTTTAGTCCCTGTGTAATAAGACTAGTATAATTATAGCTCTTTTGATTGTAAAGATTCTGAACATTTTTTTCTATGCTTCAGTGATTTACACATTTTTTTGGTTGCTAAATTAATACATTGTAAAGAATAACCATATTAATTATGTTGGCTCAAAAGAGCTATAATTATACTAGTCTATAACAAAATAACACAATACATAAAGTATATAGAATATCATACAAAACATATATATTTATATATATTCTCCATATTTCATATTATCATAACACTTATTTTTTTAATTTATTATTATTAATAATTTAAATTGTTACAGTCTGAAGTGAAACACGAGTATTATTGGCCAGTCAGTTTTTTGATTGTGTTTCTTACTTTTTACTAATGTTTCCACTATCTCTGTAATTCAAATTTATTTAAAAATTACTCTGATAATTTAAAAATAAATTTGAATGACAGAGATAGTGGAAACATTGGTAAAAAGTAAGAAACACAATCAAAAAAACTGATTGGCCAATAATACTCTTGTTTCACTTCAGACTGTAAAAATTTAAATTTACTTTATTGAAATACAAAACTTATACATAAAATGAACTAAAAAGATTATTCTTGACTAATGCTACTAGCCATTATTAGCAATAGTATTTAATATAAAAAAAATAGTCTCAACATAACTTATGTTGAGACTATTTTTTAATATAAGAAATCATTGTAAATATTTTTTATTTTTCTTCTTTTAATTTTATACAGAGGTTTTTAAGTCATAACTTTTAATTCAATGATTTACTAATTGCAGTACACATGTTTTTGTTGTTACTGTTGTTGTAGTTTGTTTGTTTGTTAGTTTTTGTTGTTGTTAATGACATTAACAACATTTATAATGTTGTTATTGTTGCTGTTTTTATAAGTATTAATATACCGTTTTTATCATTATATAATAAATCATTTAATCAAAATAAATTATTAATAATAAATAAATACTTATACAGATTTAAAACACTTCATTTTTATATGAAATTTTTATATATAATTTTTTCATTTTTTGTTGTAAACAACTTTTTATTAAAACTTTGTTACCAACGTGTTTTCAAGTTTTTATATAATAAAAAAAAAACGATGAAAAAAAAAACCTATATGTCCAAATCCAACAATACCAACTTTTCGTCTTTCTTGGAATTTTGGAATACTGTGATTACTCATTCCAATTCAAGTTTGGGCAAGCTGGACCAAATTTTGCACTTATTATGCTGCTAATTTATACAAAAATATATTATGCTGATAATTTATATCAAAATATATCAGGGCTGGACAAAATGGTTTTTTTGGGTTTTGGGTTTTTCGGTGTTTTTTTATAAAATCCCAATGAAAATTTTCTATTTCAAATAGAATTTCTGGATTTTTTGAGATTTTTGTTTTTACAATTTAAGTTTTGAAAACTATTATTATGAAATTGTCATTTATTGCTAAAATTTTAATATCTCAAACAATATCGTTATGATATTCATTGAATTTTCTGGAAACCTCCATATTATAATTGATATTCAGTCAATAATATTAGATTTTTTTCATTTTGATAATGATAACTAGCATTTAAAAATAAAACCCAAAAGACCCAAAAAAAACCTATAAAAACCTAAAAAACCCAAAAAACCCATTTTCTGAAATAATAAAAAGTGGGTTTTTTCCAACTCTAAAATATTTTTTTTTTTTTTTTTTTTTTTTTTTTTTTTTTTTTTTTTGTATAATTATTATGCCGTATTATGCTTCTAAGCTGTAGAATAAAAAACTTTTTAAAAAAAATTTTTTTTTTTTTTAATTTGAAAATTTTTGAGCCGCCCAGAGGAGGGCCGCCCAGAGGAGGGGGGGGACAGTAAGGTACATTTTACCTAGGCACAAGGAAAATGGGGGCACATGCGACCCTCAATAAAAAATTTAGTTAATATTTTTAATGGAGAAATTTTAAACAGAACCTAAATTTTCTCTTTTTTTTTTTTTCTTTTTTTTTTTATGTTAGTTCACCTCCCACCGGCCAATGGCCGAAAAAAGCCACTACAGACGAGGAGGCTACCTAATTGTGGTTATAACCCTCTATCAACTCTATAACTCCAATACACGAATATTGACAAACAAGGATGCTTTGCGGAAAAGCGGTACGTGGAACTCGGAACCTTTCGCTAATCAAGCGAGCGCTCTACCACTACACCACGACCGCTATGACAATTATTACAATTATAATTTATTATAATCTTGTTACAACTAGATTTTATAACAATTTTATTACAATTAGAATTTATTACAACAGACTTCAAATATTTATTATTCTAAATTTAATTCAAAATAGAAAAAAAAAACATTGTTATCATCACTAAATGAATATATCTTATTAAACATTAATCTAGAAATTTTGGCAACTGGGAAATCCCTTCACCAAACGTCGCAAACAAGATGGAGTGCGCGCATAGAGGTCTTTCCAGTCATTGTTGAAACGACCAAAAGAAATACTGAAGTCCTTAAACCTTCTTGAAGAAGTTGATTTAGAAGATTATCTTATGACTTTAGTTAAAACACTCAAAAAGTGGATTCTATAATTTGACTTCATTGTCTCGACTTCTTTCTGGTTCACGGCTCACCTATGTGTCAACGAGATCTGCCTCATTCCTCAATCCACGGTCGTTTAGATGTGGAAAGTTATTACACGCAAGCGCAGTGTCAAATTCAAATATTATAATTTTAAAGATGGTGACGGCCTTTAGATACCAAAATTTTTTCTGAGTAGCAACAATATTTTTAAAGTTTTACTTAGTAGTTATTATTTGCATATTTTTGATAGAATGAAATAATAATAAAGATAATTGAATTGTTGATTCAAAAATGATAAAAACAATGTAAAGATGTTTAAATATATAAAAAACTGTAATTCTCTGCTACATTTATCTGACTGCTAATAAAAATATAATATAAAGCTAATATAAAGCTAATATAAAATATTATTAGATATAATATTAAAGCTAATATAAAATAACATGCTAATATAAAGGCGTGATTTGTTTACATTTTCAAAACTGTTTTTCTAAAAATCTGAGCGATACAATTTAATAATTTTTACTTTTTTATTTCGAATAGTCTTATCTTGATTTGAAATTGTTTTCAGATTTGAGTATTCAATTTTTTTCTGAACAAAAATAGAATTCACTCAACACTACTTTTGTAGATGTATGATACATTTATATTAAGGTATATAGCTAATATATATATATATATATATATATATATATATATATATATATATATATATATATATATATATATATATATATATATATATATACATATATATATATATATATATATATATATATATATATATATATATATATATATATATATATATATATATATATATATATATATATATATATATATATATATATATATATATAATTATATATGAATGATTATAATATAAATTATAATATATAATTATATGTGAATGAGTATACTATAAATGCAAAAAAAAAAAGGCAAAAAAGTTCACAAGTTACTTATAAAGTATGTAAGATAAAATATTTATATATAAGTTAAATATAAATGTATTATGTTACATAGTTTATATAGCATTTAATTTATATTTGTTTTTATAATATAGGTAAAATAAACTATAAAATATAGTTTTTATAATATATCATAATCATTTAACTATATATTATATACAATTTGTATCCAATAAATTTGTGTGCATATTATATTACAACACGATTACAACAATTGTATGCAAACACAATTAA